TTTTAATAAATGTCACAAATTAAAATAAAATCAGATTAAAATAAAATGAAGGACCTCTCTCGCTTATTTTTAAAGCTTATAAAACTCACTTATACTCTTTTTTTAATAAACCTAACACTAAACCCTAACCCTAACTCTAACTCTAAAAAATGTTCCCAAAATTTTTTAAATTGTCACTAAAAAATATTAAAATTTCATTTTAATCTGATTTCATTTTAATTTGTCACAATTATTTTATTAAGAGCGAATAACACCAAAATAAAATGGCCTGAGTAAGATTTAGTGTCTTCTAGAGGTATATATAAAACAATAATAGAATTAGATTATATTGTGTAACAATATTATATAAAACTTTAGCTTAAAAAAATTTGGTTATTAATAATAAATTAGGCTATAAGTATGTAATTTTATTATATACTATGATATTTATTTAATAATACCCGGGTAGAGATTTTCTTAACAGGTACAATCTCTATATATAGTCTGCTAATTAACCCCAGATGCCACATTAAAAATGCATGGTAGATCCTTTATTTTGATTGGCTAACAGCCGAGAATCTTCAAAAATTTGGTCTGCATTATATAATTGTTTACTAATTTCTAGCCAGAATTAACTTTTTAATTTTTTTTATTACAAAAATAAAAATTTTTAAAAAATAAGCCTGCATTTAGAGTTGTATTAACTTATCTGACAATGTAACTTATATTGTAAGTTATATCATAAGTTATATGACCTCATATAAGTTACAAATATATAAGATATTAAAGCAGACTAGTATTAAGATATTTTGATCAGCGAGATGTAGCGTCTTAGTATAGTAGTCTAGTCGTTACCCTCTCCAAGTGGCAGGTCTAGAGTTCAAATCCTACTGGCGATGATATTTGAATAATAGTCTGTGCTACGGTTTATGGTTGTCGATTATCGGTTGGATTTAAAACTAAAATCTGTAATTTCAGTCACACCATCTAGTTATAGAAGCTTTGGCACAATAAATTCAAGAAACCAGAATAACCGAAAACCCATTTGGCAAGTTCCGAATTTGGAGGTAGTAGTGATCTTTGACAGTATACAGGAGGGCTGAATTCAAACCAGGGCCTGAGATCGGTGAACTGAGCAATTAAATCTGCTGGCAAAGAACACACCAGCCGAACCACCGGGTTGTCGCACCAGAGAAAAAAGGTATATGCTCTGAAAGTATGAACTAAGAGGAGGGCGTCCTTCAGGCACCTAAAGCCTAGACAGACCGACTCTTCCAGGTTGCTAGCTGGAAGTAAGAGAGGGACTGATAAAGAATTCAAGTAAGAAGATGGTCCAAATGTGGGTATCGGGGTTGTTGTGAACCAAATAAGGGCAGTGAGTATGTAATAGGCGCCTAATTAGGAAAGTTAGTGCTTGAGAAACGTCCATAGAATGGCAGCACCCCAAAAGGTGGCATGAGATATGCATACGGAATGGCAGATCAATATATACTAATTAGAAAGAAGTTATAAAAACATGCAGGTAAATACACGTGTAGGACGTGTACTGCTCTGTTAGGTTTACCTCAAAAATAGACTAGCTTATGTTAGTAAGTCCTAAGGTAGAGTGTAAAATCCAAATTGAATAAATGCAAAATCCACATATGAACAGTGAGTAATATTTATAGGTTAGAGGGCTGATGATGGTAGTTAGAACCAGATGATTTAAATAGGTACCCCATAGTTAGAGTGCAGGTATGGCAGATAGTGTGGAACCCTTAGCACAGCACTAACGTTTCGGACGGACCACTTAAATTAGACACCAAAAATGTACCATCATTGTAATTATATTATAAAATATCATCTATACTCTAATAAAAAGTTCTCAGGCCAAAGAGATCACCTTAATACCAAAAAAAAAAATATATATATATATATTTTAATCAGCATTAAGATAAAATAAAAAGAAAATTTTTAATTTTAGGCCAAAAGCTAAAGTAGGCCAACTTTAAAAATATTAGCCAGTATTAAATTAGTGTAATATAGTGCTTCTACAAACCCAAACCAAATCAAACTCTAGGTTAAATTTAAGTTTGATTTGAAGTTCAAACCAAACTCAAACCAAACTATTTTTTTAAATACTGTTTGATTTGAGTTTGAAATCAAACTTTTAAAAATAGGTTGAGTTTGGTTTGAGTTTAATTTGAAAGTTTGCAAACAAGTTTGGGTTTAATATATTGTGTAAACCAAGAAAATGAACTACCCGCCCAGACTTTTATTTAAAAAATTTAAAAATTTTTTAGATTATTATAAATTAATAGGCAATTCTCCAGTTAACTAAACAAAAATTTTTTTTTTTATATATAAATTTTACTATAAGTGCGAATGTACCGAGCCTGTATCTAAAACTTTTTTATACTAAGTAAATCACTTTTCGGCTTCTAACAAAAGTTGTAGAGCTCATCAAAATGTACTTAATACTAAAAGAATATTAAAATTGGCCTAGTAGTTCTTGAGAAAGTTTAAAAAACTTCTTTTTCATATATAAAATTTTTTTAAAAAAAATCAATTTTTTTTAAAGAAATTTTATATGTGAAAAAGAAGTTTTTTAAAGATTTCACAAGAACTACCAGGCCAATTTTAATATCCTTTTAGTATTAAGTATATTTTGATGAGCTCTACAACTTTAGTTAGAAGCCAAAAAGTGATTTACTTAGTATAAAAAAGTTTTAGATACAGGCTTGGTGCATTTACACTTATCCCTTAAACCGTCCGGTTTGGCAGTCAAATTTGTCTGCTAAAATAATTGGAGAAAAACTAACCCCCTTAAAATTTTTTTTACAGAAATATTACCTGAAATTGGCTAGAACAGCTCCTAAAAATACGGGTCACATGAAAATCAAGTTATTACATCATGGCACGTGCTGTGTAACTCAAGCAAAGGATACAAATTAAAAAACACATAATATGCTTCGCCTGCTTCGTAAAAATATTTTATTAGACAAAATTATTTGGATCACTTTGCAAATTAAGTTTTAAAGAATTAAGATCTAGACAAAATAAAATTATTATATAATATGGGTACTTACTCATAATAAAATTTTAATTTATTAAAAATATTAAACTTGTATCATTTACTATGCAAATCGGAGCTATTTATTTGTAAAGTTTTAAGGGTTAAGTTCTTACATTGAAGTTGGTTCTTCAAATGCTTTTATTTACATAAAACCAAATGCCCAAGGATTATATTCCAATCTCATTTTAATAATATAAACTGACTTGAAACACCAATCCCACTCTGATTATATACCTGATTTGAGACGTTTCACTAACATCTCCCATCTCAGCAGACTTTTGCTAATAAATAAATGCCTTATGTTAGTCTATTTAATCCTTATTCCATTTTGATAACAATTTGTAAGGTTAAATGTATTACTTTTCCCTGCAGATTTTTTTTCAGTAACTTCATTTTTTACATAAAACTCGAAAAAACAACTTCGACTTTTATTGCAGCAGAGAGGTATATCGCACGCGGCACACCAGAGATTGCTTTGATTCTGCGTTTTGCGATTCAGATCTAAATTTTTTTTGCTTGCCCACCAAGCACACCACAAACATGACTCTCGACTTTGTCGCCACTCTGGGAAATAGTCACCAGATACAAACTATTGGTTTGAAAGCTCGAAATACTTTGTCACTTTCGATCATTTGGTTTTTTTTTTTTTCGGTTGCTTTTCTTTTCATTCCTTTTTTTAATCCACTCCTTAGCTGAATCTCCCTGACATTATTTGCTATATCTATTAAATCCCAAACAAGTTCAAGGCGAAAATTCTTTTGCTCTTGCGTTAAACCTAAGGTCTGAGAGATTCGATACGAATTGACAATCATGGTGTCCAGGAGCCAAAAAAACAGCGGCATCCAGTTCCTTTGTATTGCTTGTTGTGTATTATAATATGACCACAGTTGGTCTGCAATGTCTACACCATTCATACAATGGTTGTAATCGTCTATTACCTTAGAGATCTTTAGCACTTTTTTTGATTGAGAGCCAAAAACCGCATGTACTTTTGTCGCATTAGTGCTGGTTTCTCTTGGCTGCCATCATTTCCATTCTATTTCCCATTTGTCACCAACAAGTCCATGAATTGTTGACAGCATTGTGACTGGACCATTGTCTTGCCAAAACACAGCCAACACCCCACTCACTACGACACCAGAATGTATATCCCAATTAAACTGGGTGTTTTTTTCTATCTTCAATTCTTTTGGGAACCCGGAAAGCCATTTTTTGGACCGTACTACAAGCGCCAACACCAATTTGCCGAAGATTCTGGAAAAGAGGAACATTAGAAAAGTAGTTATCCATGTAGACATTGTATGGATGTCGAAGATATGGTAGCTGTGTGACGAGATGATAAACCTGACATCCAATTTGACTGAGCCCTCTCACTTTTGCTACATCACTTGGGGAAATACGCGAAGTTGGCAAGAAAGTATACGTATATCCAGATTTACAAAGCGACAAAACCTTGTAACCCTCTGGGGTTGGTTCTGATAGTGTGAGCGCTTCTTCCCGAAAATCTTACCATCATCTTGTCAACTGAGATATTTGAACCTGGCATGTAGAGCTGCTTTGAAACATTTCAAACGTGTAAGAGCAGTGGTTCTAATTTTTCGAAATAAATTTTAATCACTACTGCAGGAGGGGAGATATGCAAATATCTCTTGCTTTGTTCGAAACGCTTCAGCGACATTTGTTTCAAAATATGGTGGAAAGGGAGCTTCGGGTCTTCGTTCCAATATTGATTAAGGGAGAGCAGCTTAAAAACACCCTAATAAATGACAATTGCTATCCAAACAATAAGCTCCTTATAGTTAATATTCGTTCATTGTCTGCCAGTAAGAATACTGGCTCCTTTAATTAACACATATGAGTTCATATTAATGACTATTTGATCTAACAAATTGTTCGGAAAAAATTGAAAAAAAAGATTGATCAGTTTTGAAAAACCAACTTCATGGTGTGGGGCAAATTAACAAACCTATGGTGTTGTTGCTTTTGATGAGCTAGTAGCTCAAAATTTGTAGGTGGTGGCGGCAATTTTTTTTGTTTGCAACCTCTCTTACAAACACCTTTAGTATTCTTTTCCTCTTCTTTGTCCTCATTGTCTGATTCTGGGTTCAAAAAATTGCGGTGGGAGAAGTGGCATATATTCATCCTCGTAATCACTATTTATTTCTGTATTTTCAAGGGAAGATGCCAAACTTGTACTAGCATTAGGCATAGTTGTAAAAAAAAAATTATTCTAGAGTTTGATAACGATCATCACTTTTTTTAAAGTTTACCATTATACTACTTGCATATGATTTGAGCATTTATCGTTACTTCTAATCACCTGATATTAAATCACAGATCAATGTTTAACATGATGATCTTCTATTTTTTGCCTAGAATAGGGGGTGTTGTTTAAGAAAATCGGGCACAATCTTACAAAATCAAAAAAAAAAATTTTAGCAGGCAAATTTGCCCGCTGGACGGTTTAAGAGATAGTAAAATTTATATATAAAAAAAAAATTTTTGTCTAGTTGACTAGAAAATTGCCTATTAAATTTTATTTATGACCCAGAAATACATATCCAGATATTTGGGTTTTTTATAATAATTTTGTTATAAAATTAAATTAGAGTATATCCAGATCGCATCTTTAACTCTAAACAAATATTCAAACCTGTCTATTATTAGAACTGATGATGGCATATGCATGGATTTTGAGAATTATGCATATGATTTTGTAGGTATGTTTTAATATATGTATGTCTAGACAATTTTAAATAATTAAAATTACTAGAAAAGATCTGCTATTATAATAAAATAGAGATTATATTAAAAACAAAATCAATAAATTAAAATTTATTAATATTGTTTAAGCTTCTAAAAAACCTTGTACAGTATACTCTTATAATAAATTATCGTCTGTCACAAGTGTTTTTACTAATAATTTTTTTTGTGAAAAATAAGGTACAACTTACTGTATATTCTTAATTTATTTTGAATTATCAATTTATTTTAACATTAAAGATGAGTTTTCATAGCTGTGGGAGTAAATCTGATCCTCCAAAGCATATAAAAGATCAGTGATGAATATTTTTACAGCATTTACTTGTTTTACTATGATGACCAATCCATACAGCAGATCATATGAAATGATTTTTAAAATAAGTATTTTAGAAATTACAGAAGATTGGATAACCAAATTATATAGTAAGTGGGTATAAAATATCTATTTTAAAAATATACTATACTGATCTTGCTATCAATATTGTAAAATTGTAGATCAAAAGAAAAAAAAAGAGATAGTAAATCATCTCATAACTGCAAATTTATATGTTCTGCCATCATGATATTCAAAATAAAGAATAACACCCTTATTTTTCACTAAGAAAAAATAAGCCAGTAGATCTTAGATATAATCGCATCCTAGCAGAAACCAGCCTAGTATTTAATTGTCATTCTTTGATTTATTACAGAGGTTATAGTAATATCACCACCTATGATAAGTAATAAATTCTTTAATGAAAGCGAGACACTTCAGACTCTTATATTGTTAGGAATTTACCTCTTATTCCTGCCATTGTAAAAAATAATAATGCATATTCACTTTTAATTTGATTTCTTTTTCATTGATTTAGTGGCAATGATTATAATAGTAGATATATTTAAAATAAGTTATTTTTTTTATACAGTATTTATATTTATATTAAATTAATCTGTAGATATAGTTTAAAAATATGACAAAAAAATTTTTGCTGCTCTCTAAATTATTCTATCTCAGTAAGAGTATAAATTATCTGCTATTTCTTATTTTGTAACTTATTTAAATTAATTTAACTGGAAATAATAAAATAATTATTGTATTCAAAAGCAATATATGCACTTCTTATTAGTTTTATTAGTTTATCGTCCATGCTAATTTGGTAGATAAACAATCTTTTATTCAAGTCGATTCAACCATTATTATTTGTCATAGATGATTGTGAAATCAGATAATAGTAAAATTTGGGATCTTCTTTTGAAAATATAAATTCTATTTAAATCTATTTATACTCTTTTCAACACAACTCTAACTCTAAATTCCAACCTATTACTAAAAAAAACTAGGATAATACTCCATAAAAAAATTCTAAAATCTCATTAAATTAGGCCCAAATTTCATTATCACCTGATTTCATGATCATCTGTAATATTATTTAATTGAAATGTTTTAAATAATCTATTAATTTTTTATTCATGCTAATTTATGATTTTTTATAACTTGAATTTTAAAAATTTATATAGAACAAAAGTTGTATAGTGCACTTGTAAAGCTTATCAATTCGGTTTTTAATTTAAAATGAAAAAAAATAAAAAATCAACATGTGAATAATAATATGTCAAATCACTAGTATTTGAATATTCAATGAATAAATATTCAATAAATTTATCTGGATATTATTAACCAATTTCTGGATATTAAAAAAAGTTAGATTAATAAATATCCAGGTGGTTAGTTTTAACAGAATCAGACTATATCTCGAAAATTCAATTCTTTCAGAGATTGTTTTTATAAAGTGTATTGATTAATTCATTTCATTTTTCTGATTTAAGTTCATATTATAAGACTCAAAAAAGCCTGAAAAGGATTGTAGTGGTTATGCTAGGTTTATGTTGATTTTGACTATTCAAACTCAAACATGTTTGGCAAACTTCAAATCAAACTCGAACCAAACTTATAATTGTGTTTGAGTTTGGTTCAAGTTTGATATTACAAGTTTGAGTTTGAGTTTGGGTTTGAAATCAGCAAAATTTGCTGTTTGAGTTTGATTTGAATTCGAAGTTTAATCAAACCTGAACCAAACCCGAATCACACTTCAGAGCCCTAGTGTAATATTTGTAAGTTACGTAAGTTACATAAGCTAAAATCTAACTTATATAAGTAGTGTTCTGCAAAAAATCCAGGTCCGGTCCGGTCTGTACACCGAACTGAATTCGGATCCTTATTAAGATCCGTCTGGTCCGGTATTAAACATGAGCTAGCTTTTCTGTTTGGTTAAAAATGTTGTAACAAAGTGATATAAAGATGAGCAGAGTCATCAGAGAGATATGGAGAGCAATGATTTTTTACTAAAGAGGTTTTTTTTTAGAAACGGACCAGATCCAGATCCATAACTTGGATCCCGGACCAGACCCAGATCTATAACTTGGATCCCGGACCAGACCCAGATCTCTGCCTGGTTTAGTTCATACAGAATACTATATAAGTTAGAATAACTTACTGTAAGTTATAGACTATGATTTCATTAGTAAAATTATAAGTAATTCTGGTCTAATTTTTTGATCATTGCTCTTAGCCAATAAAATTGAGGATCTGCTGTATATTTTTTGTACAACACCTAGGTTCAATATTTATAAAATTAAACATAGCTACTACAACAAATTTGGACTAGCAGATTCTCGATTTTAATTGGCTAAGAGCAATGATAAAAAGATTAAGCTGAAATTACTCATAATTTTACTAATGAAATCATAGCCGTCTATTAAATGCAAATTGTTCTTGGGCCAATTTTATCATAATGCAGGCTTATTTTTTAAGAATTTCTATTTTTGTAATAAAAAATCAAAAAGTTAATTCTGGCCGAAACTTAGTAACCAATTTTGTAATGTAGGCCAAAATTTCAAAGATCCTTGGCCATTAGCCAATCAAAATCAAGGATCTGCTGGTCCAAATTTGTTGCAGCAGCTATGGTTAATGTTTATAAGATTAATCCTAGATACCGCACAAAAAATGTGTGGCAGATCCTCGATTTTGATTGGCTAACAGCCATGGATCTTCAAAATTTTGGTCTGCATTACATAATTGTTTACTAATTTCTAGCCGGAATTAATTTTTTAATTTTTTCATTACAAAAATAGAAATTTTTAAAAAATAAGCTCGTGTTATAGTAAAATTGGCCCAGGAACAATTTTGATCATTACTCTTAGCTAATCAAAATCATGAATCTGCTGTGCATTTTTTGTGTAATACCTAGGTTCAATCTTTTAAATATTAACTATAGCTGTCGCAACAAATTTGGACGGCAGATTCTCAATTTTGATTGGCTAAGAGTAACGAAAAAGTCATAATTTTACTAATGAAATTATAGCCACCTATTAAATAAAAATTGTTCCTGAGCCAATTTTACTATAATGTAGATTTATTTTTTAAGAATTTCTATTTTTGTAATAAAAAAATTAAAAAGTTAATTTCAGCCAGAAATTAGTAACCAAATTTGTAATGTGGGCCAAAATTTCAAAGATCCTCAGCTGTTAGCCAATCAAAATAGAGGATCTGCCGGTTCAAATTTATCATATAGGCAGATTTGACTCCATTTAATATTGTCACAAAATTCGATTTTGTCACATACGATGATCAAAATATATTATTAACCAATCAAATCAATTAAAAAATTTAATTGTGATATTTCAAATTTTGATTATACCCAAATGCGTTGCACTTGTACAATCTACATCTTATTCTAAACCAAGACAACAGTTAATATCTAGAATACCTAAGTCTCCACTATCTTTTCTAGTTTTCTAAGCAAAAAATACCTATGTATTAGACCCACGATGGCTAGTAAATGCTAACTTTGTCAAGAGATTTTTTTTTTTTTAAAAAGATCTTGTTATCCATAAAAGAATTAAGCACTGAAATAATAAAATTATACCTCACCGCAAAACACTTCTTCAACCTCTTCTTAAGCAAGTCGCATTTTATCAAGATGCATTTATAGTTCTTATTAAAAAATATCTTGGTTTTAATAGGTATTCAGTAGGCACAAAACAAGTCTTTATAAATGCTTTTCCTGAAAATATATTTGTTCATCTTTTTGAACATGAGCCTTCTTTTCAGTATAGCCCTGTGCAACGAAAATATTTGTGTTCTTTTCAGGGTGAAGCTGAAGAACAAAGATTGAAACAATTAGTTAATTATGATTATTGGAATATTAGACAAGATCCAAAACTAAGAACTATAGAATACGTTTTATTTATAGACAATAAAGGTTCTTACAAAGTTAGCTTTGGTTGGTCTCAATCTGAATTTAAAGAAAACAAACATGTTTTTTATTGCGGTACTGCAACTTGTAAATTTATAGCAGATTCTGAAAAATTTTCTGAATAGTAGGAGCTAATATAGAAGCTTGTTAACAAAATGATCCTTCAAAACTATAGTTTTATAGTTTTAAAGGATCATTTTGTTATTATTAT